ATGTATGACAAAACGCCTTTAAAAATCAGATATGGTAAAGAGCTAAGAGCAATTAAGAAAAGTGGTATGCTTCATCTTGCTAACGGGAGGAGAACATTTTGAATCCGTCACTCATGAGAGTTGATTATAAGAACTGAGAAGCGTTGCATTGTCCTAAGCAAGGGATGTGTCACTCATAAGTTAATTCACCATTTAACTCATACCCTTGTCTCGATCAACTAAAATGTTGACAAATGATCACGAATATGTATAGCCCTGCTAAACTGAGATCAGTTGTTAGAAATTGTAGTCTCTTAGCTTAATCTCAAAGAGGGTGGAAATTTTAGATAGTTTTCTATCAGTACAAGATAACGAAAGCTTAAACTGAAAGAATCCTAGATTTCATGGCACATTTTTTTTGTTTACATTAATCTATAATTGCTATTCTTACACAATAAACTGACATTTTTCCTTAACTTTCTGATGTGGTTATGCCACGTCAATTAATGAATATCGTTACGTAGATTTGATTTTTTATTTTAAACTTTTTTCAGTAATGCTTAAAATCAGCCAAGTCCTCGTGTTGCATTCCCCCGTCTCTTTTAGTTTCCAAAAAAAAAAAAAAAAACAGCCAAAGTGAAAGGAAGAAGAGAATTGGGAAACAAAAAGAAGCCAAGCCGTCATTGACAGATCCAGCTGCAAGTTAGCCTAGCCCATTTTGGTGTGGATCAACTAGTTAAACGTTATTAGGCCCTTTGCCAAAGGTTATTGGACTGAGAAAACCATTTCTCCAAAAGGAGTGCAAAACTATAACAGTAAGCCCATGAGGTTAAAATTCACAGATATGATATTTCTCCGAAAGGAGTGCAAAACTTGGTTGACAGGTAACGAAATGTATCAGCATGTTATGAATATAACACTGAAAATATCGATAGTGTGTCCGTTGTTTAGTTAAGCATAACACGACCTCAAATTGTTGTTCAAATCTTAATGCCTTGCCTAAATTTTTAAATCTTACTACAAAATGCAACCTGGATTATACATATATAGCTCAAGTGCGTCAATCATCCGGGCAAGAAAACTTGCATGTGCTTTACTAATAATCCTTAAAAAATGCACTGATCATTTAAATGTCAAAAATACAATTCAAAAAGATCATATGTGTTATAAATAAACAAAAGTTAGAGAAATAACATTTTCTAAGGACGGGAGCAAAGCGAGTGCAAAATGTCACACTATAACTTTAGTAGCTATAATAAAAAAGATGGCAAATAAAGAGAGGGAGGGAGATATACTAATATTATTTCTTTGATCTTTCTCTTGCAATGTGCATTTTGATAACACATATAGTGTTCTATTTATAGAGCAACTCCCGTAATAACAACCATACAAATACAATTATGACACTTTTGAAAGTATCAAATACTATTCCTAAGTCTTTATTCCCTTGAGTGGGCATTCACCCACTAATTCTACAACAATATGCGAATTATAGGCAACTTTTTGGAGTGTTGTATAAGTATCACCGTGTCGGTGTTGCATTGTGTCAAGTTTGGCAAATCACTTATTGTACGTCCAGCCGTCCCTCATTAACTCATCTAATTCCCATCCTCTTGCTCCCCCCCTACCAACTTTGCCACTCCACATTTAGCTTTGCAGGTTGCCTTCTTCCTCCTAACTTCGAAGAAAGACACCACAGAAAAATCTGATCGTGTGACTCGTATTCCACAGCTCGCAATATAATCATAAATTAAGATATAAGATTAAGATTGATACCCTATTTTATTTAATTTTCCCAATGTTTTCCAGCCTCTCAATTGTGTCTGAAATAAACAAAAACCGAACCCCCATGCATGCCACATTAACAGTTTTATATTCCTTCTTAGAAGGTTCGATGAAATATCTGATATCAGCAGTCGAAGTTTGGTCCTTGAATTTCAATTGTTTTTGGTTTGCCAAAAGAGGACAGTATGTAAGCCAGTACCTCGTGCCTTATTGGCATCGCGCCTCTCCACCCTCCATGGCCACAGGCGCTGTCTCAAACTTTGGGTCTACTTCGTGTCTTTTCTCTGATTACTTGACACACGGCTTTCAACTTACCAAAAGGTTAACAATGACGTGGATTTTTTTGACACTGTTAATTTTATTTAATGAAAGGTAATAAAGTTAACTGCATTTTTTTATTAAAAAAAGAAACAACTAGTGTCAAATCACGATTATTCATCCATTCCGAGGATCATAAAGACTCACAGAGGCATTTCAGCCTCCTCCTCTAGCTAGAGTCAAACTGACTCACTAGCTTGAAGCCTCGAGTTTGGGACCTCCAGTTTTTTTATATTTTGAAAGCCAGAATCCGTACCCTTACCACTGGACTACTTGTTGCGGTTAATAAAATTAATTGTGTTAACCTTTTGGTAAGTTGAAAGATACATTTAAAAATCAGGAAAGAGACGCAAAGGAGACGCAAAGTTTGAGAACAACAAATCTGCGGCCGAAGAATTGAGACCCAATAAAAAATCAAGTTAAATGTCGATAAACCTAACCAAAATGAATGTATAATTTTGTACAAAAACAGCTTATAATTTACTACTCACGCCACTTTCTTATGGCAATCTGGATTATTATTGTTCTTATATTTGGTTGATTTAGCTAAAGTTGCAATAGAAATGTCAAATTTCCCTAAAACCAATCATAAGTGCTTTGGATTATTAAATTCTTTAAATTTGCAAACAATAAAAAAGAATTCAAAAGTAAACATAAGTGTTTTGTAAACCAAAATTGACCACCTCAAACTGAAATATCATGGTTAAAGTTTTTATACAAACAATAGTTTACGTTAGAGTCTAAATTATTGGAGAATAGAATCTCATATTTATCATGTAACCAAATAATTATTTTTAATATTATCGAAGCATTTTATGTTGAAATTTTTTGCCTGATAATAGATGGTTAAGTGAAAACAATATCGGTGATCTTGATGGTGGATCATGCTGGGCTTAAAAGTTTATCATGATATCAAAACAGGCTATTCTTTTGACACATTCTGAGTCTGATTTATTAGGCTCGAATTTGCCTCCCTAAGTTATGCTTTTCCAAAATTGCCCCTAACTTAAACATAAGGATATTAATTGACTAGGTCTTTCAAAAGTTGTGTTGACTCTATTTCCTAAATGATGAACGAGGTCTCAAAAAGTTGTGTTAGCTCCGGCATAATGACTTAACAAATTTTTTATGTGAGGAATTGGTTTTTCTTATGACTATGTGTAAGGCCACTTCTGAGGGTGCATTTTTGAAAATAGGATAACACATCGACTATATGACAACATAATACATAATTAATATATGAGATTTTTAATTAAAATACCATCGAGACTTTTTATAATAAAATTGAACACTTAATAATATGTATTTAAATTAAGAGAATTGTTATTAGCACTTCAAAAATCTCATTTAGCACTTCAAACTTTTTATAATTAGAAAGAAAAATACAGTTTTATAAGAAATGTAGAATGAGATTTTTTTAAAATATCTATAACAGTTTTCTAAATTAAAATAATATCAGTTATGTTAGTGGTGTATGAGGCCCGTTCATAAATTACAAAGGAAATTTAAACTCAACCGCAGAATATTAGTATTAGTGGGGCCCGGTACGGCGGTGACGGACGGCCGAGACTGAGTTGGTCACCAATCAAGTAAACATTTGGGGATTTTTTGTGATGTGAGGGTTGGCTGTTGACACGTACAAGTGGACATTGGTTTGTGATCGAGCCAGTTGAGGTGGCAAAAGGATTAGATAGAGTTGATACACGTCATACCGAGTCAAGCGCTTCGGGTGACGAAAGGCCGTTTATAATAAAGGAGATGGAGGCATATCGTCTGCGCTCCCATTACCATGCCTTTTTCATTTATTTTTATATTGTACGGTTATTATTAAACTATATTAATATTTTATATTAATTTTTTTATAAAAACATGATTTAACTGTGATCGTACAAATAAAAAAAAATGATAAGAACATGATAAAAGAAGACAGATAAAAGAAGGGCAGACAATCTGCCTCTTTTAATAAACGACCTCTGTAGGCTCTTTTATTTTTAAATTAACTTTGGCCCGGCTTTTCCACGCCTTTAGAATTTAAAGACCAAGTGGGTGTAAGCCTTCCACGTATTCTTGGATAATTACTAAATTAAAATAAAAAAAATTGTCGAAAAGTTCAAAAAAAATGATAAATCTTTTTTAAAAGTATAGTGAATAGTATTAGAAAAAAGTATAAATGTGATTTTTTGTTAAAAATGAACAGTATAATGAACAATACTGTGAGTATTTTGTTAAAACTTTAATTAAAATATGGAAATGTTTCAAAGTTGGGAGGGTAAATATGGAAAAATAGTTATTTTTGCTAGCAAAATTATGGGATGTTTCCCACGCGCATGGCTTACTTGGGAAATTCAGTCAACCTATGTCATGACATAAAAGAGAGAATGTCAAAGTAAAAAGGTAAAGAAATCAACTGAAATAGGATTTTCCTTTTTCTTATTTTATTTGTTACTTTTTTGGACAAATTGATAGCGCAAGGCTTCCAAAACCCGTTCTCAATTTGGATTGTAGGCTGCAACTCGCCTATATTTACATGGTTGTGAATTCATTTTCGGGTCTTGTAAACTATTTAGATCATTAAAATTCGATATGATATAAACTTCACAATTAATTTTCATTTTTTTTTGTAAAAAAATCTGAGATCCTTTCCGTTAAAGGATCTGTATAAGCTCTGTTGGGAGAGTGCAAGTGCAGATATTAGAAAGCGCGTGGGGTGGAGGACAACCAAACATTAGTCACACGCTACGCTAGTATGTTTCTGATATTTAATAGTGAAATTTTGTTTTTTAATGATGTACCAATTCCAGTCCGATCTTTCTTTCTCTATAAAGTCAGGCCCGTCCGCCAAACCTCTTCATTCATCCTCTTACAGGCAAGTCACAAAACAACCGACTCACAGACACCAGACTCTCTCCCTCTACTCATTACCACATCTCTCTCTCTCTCTCTCTCCCTCTCTCTCCCTCTCCCCCAAATGGAAGTTTCTCCGACCGCAACGTCCGGCATCTCCGTCGACCTGTACGGTCTCTCCGACACCAAATCTCTTCCCGAACCCGATGTCGACATCCTCACCTGCGACGCCCTCCGCATCCCCGCGCACTCTAGCATCCTGGTACGTTATTTCACCAAACATGCGCCGCGCCGCCGCCTCTTCTCATTTTCGTAAAGCAGTTTTATTTATGTTTTCGGTAATTTCTGAATATTTATTTATTTATTTTCTTAATTCTGAAGGCCTCAGTGTCGCCGGTGCTGGAAAACGTAATCGACCGGCCACGTAAGCACCGGAGCTCCGAGCGGGTCATTCCGATTCTCGGCGTTCCCTACGACGCCGTATTGGCCTTCGTTCGCTTCCTCTACTCCTCCAGGTTCGTCTAAATCAACACGTTTTTCTATTACCTCAAATCATCAATCATCGCCGCCGTCCGTTTCATCTCAGCCGTCCGCTTAAATTACACCTGGCATATTTGAACTGACGAAAATGCCCTTCAGTTGCTCAGAGGAGAACATGGAGAAGTACGGAATCCATCTGTTGGCGCTGTCCCACGTGTACCTGGTTCCACAGCTGAAGCACCGGTGCACTAAGGAGCTCGGACAACGTTTGACCATGGAAAACGTGGTGGACGTCCTCCAACTGGCGAAGATGTGCGACGCAGCGGATCTCTACCTCAAGTGCTTGAAGTTGGTCGCCAATCACTTCAAGGTTGTTGAGACAACTGAAGGATGGAAATTCTTGCAAGATCACGACCCTTGGCTCGAACTCGACATCTTGCAATTCATCGATGAGATCGAATCGGTACGCTACTCTACATTCGTTTCGTTTCGTAGACGCTAAGAAAATGTACGACGAGTCAGAGTCACATGCACACCTGTTGGTCGTTGATACATGTAAAACAGACGTAACTATTGATTATTAATCACCTAATATAACGTTTGCATTGGAAAAGTTTATCATTTGTGATAATTCTTAATTGTTTTTTAACCCAATTGATTATTGTATTAATCAAAGTTAACCCTGTGATTAAGCAGAGGAAGAAGAGGACAAGGAAGCATAGGGAGGAGCAGAGGTTGTATCTCCAGCTTAGTGAGGCAATGGAGTGCTTGGAGCACATATGCAAGGAAGGTTGCACAAGTGTTGGACCCTACGACATGGAGCCAGGTCACAAGAGGGGCCCATGCAGCAAGTTTTCCACGTGTCAAGGACTCCAGATGCTGTTCCAGCACTTCGCCACGTGTAAACGGAGGGTGAATGGAGGGTGCTTGCGTTGCAAGCGCATGTGGCAGCTTCTTAAGCTTCACTCTTCAATGTGCGACGAACCTGATTCTTGCAGAGTCCCTCTGTGCAGGTAAAAACATAAAACCCTTGATTAAATTCTAATCTTAGTTAATGTATTTTAATGGTAGCTTGATGAATTCTAATTGTAGTTTAATGAATAACCAAGAAAAAAGGAGTTGTTGGTAGGATTCCAAACGATTTTATCAGCTAGACTAATTGGATTTCTTTAATTTGCATGTTTTTTTAAGTACAAAATGTGGAATGTGACCTAAAATTAAACAAATTTTTTTTTAACAAATAATATTACCTACACTAAAGGTGAAGGAGTGGGCTAAGCCTCACAATGAATTAGCGTTTTTGGTGAATCAAATATAAGATTTCTCACTTACAAATGAAGAAAAATATCATTATATCACAGTACTAAGTTGCAAAATAAACCAGTTAAAAACTCTCACTTTTAGTTATATTTAGCCTTTTCTGGTTTGGAATCTCATAAAATATAGGACAATGAAGAAATAGGCGAGTGCCTGAATCATTGAAACCTACTTCAACGATTGAGGCATCTTTGGAAGGGTGGTGGAGCCCAACTCATGCCAACTCATGCCAACTCATTAGCCTGGCAGCAATTTAATTTTGGTCCGCCGTAGGGTTGGGTAATATAGCAAGGAATAATATCCTGATATACTGTAAATATGAACTATTTTTTCATACGAAATAATCAAACGAATAAATTGTCGAGATTTAGAATCAGAAATCTTATGTTTGATGGACCATTTGGCATGAGAATATTTCTCCTTATAGAGATTTGTTGTCTGCTAGGACTCTAATATTTTAGGTATGTTTAGCTATTGTCAGAAAACGACAAAAGAGAGCTGCTGATTTTTAATTAAATTTCAACCTTTCGTGAAAAGTTATTTGTGGTTGAGAATTTTCAGTGGTTGAAATATTATAACCATTTAGGTTTTGAAGCTGACCCCTTGATTTTTAATTAAATTTCAACCTTTCGTGAAAAGTTATTTGTGGTTGAGAATTTTCAGTGGTTGAAATATTATAACCATTTAGGTTTTGAAGCTGACCCCTTCATTCTAGTAAAAGGTTCATTGTGCATGAATCAAGTACTAGAGCGACGGCTTGTGCATGTCATGGTGTAACACGGATGAAGGAGACAGAAGCTGGCTAATAAAGTCAAAAATCAATTATATAAATTAGATTCCATCCATATGTGACAAAGAAACTGAACATTTTTCACGACCCTTCCATCCTATCACTTTGGTCAATTTAGTTCATGAAAGATACAATGTGAAAGTGCTTCATTCGCATATGTGAGTTACGCCAGTTTACAAGGGTACATATCCGAGTTACGCCAGTTTATTAGGGTATTGCGCTGACTTTTTTGCACATTAATTCAAATCTCTACTCATACAATTTAGAATACATGTTAGCTTAAATTTTATCTATATAAGTTTATCTTACGTTGTCGATCCAAATCTTGATAAGGGATGGGTAAAGTGTCAAGTAGTCTACAACTAACACTTCTTTTTTACATCGAATCGCAATGATATGTCGACTTTGTTAACAAAAAAGTGTTGCATCCCAAACGTAATTCCTAACTCTTACAACTTGCAAATTTAAAAATATCTTTTGGACATGAATATTTACGACAAGATAAGGATTTGATATTTTTCAAAATTTCCATCCTCCACATATATCATGGATGGTGGGTGGGGTTTAAAGCTCCTTCAATTGTCTTTTTCTTTTGCAGCAGCGTCCATTACGCTGTCACGAATAACTATTAGCAACTGGTATTGATATTTATTGACACGGTGTCGTTTTCGGGAATGTGACAGGCAATTCAAGTTGAAAATGCAGCAAGAGAAAAAGAGAGACGAGGCCAAGTGGAAACTGCTTGTGAAGAAGGTGGTGTCGGCCAAAACCATATCTTCCCTGTCTCTGTCAAAGAGGAAGAGGGAGGAAGAATTAGGAGAAGCAAGAAGCACGACTCCTCCTCCTAATGGAATTAGAAGTTTCAGATTGTGATTGATTAGGTCTGTGGCAAATTAGTGACATGATGATTGGTTGTTTTTCCCCCACGAATGTCACAAAGAACTGTGTATGATCATGTCCAATGTATATTTAAGTGGGAGTTTTGGTTCTTCCAGATGGTACTTAACCCTAGTAGAAATTGGGGTTAACATTTAGTTAATATGTTTAGTTACCAATATTGGGGAAGTATTATCATGTCCAATTTGGTTTCATTAGTTATATGTACCTTAGTAATTTTTATTTCAGTATATTTTCATTTGTTTTGGTGACATTTATCTCATCTTTAATATTATGATAAATTTGTAATTTTAACATGTGTCTATCTTTTTAGTATTAGTAAAATATATGTTGTTTGTGGATTTCCTAACAATTTAAGCCTTTTAGGCATATTGGTTGTCCAACATGATATCAGAAGCTCTGATTTCGTTATGATATGCATCTGTTTGCCTCCCCACGTGCATGATACAGCTTCACGTTAGAGCTTACTACAAGATTCTGCCATTTGTGTGAGTTTGCCACATCATTTTTTCTGTATTCTATTAAATAAGACATAGAATTATACATGTATTAGAAGATAAATTATATAGTTATTTATGTCAAAATTGAGTGGGAATAGAACTCTAAGGGAGTGGTTTAAGCCACTCACATTACGGAATGACAGTTTTCCTTAATAGGAGGAAATTGTCAACATGGATTTGGTGCATGCTTGTTGTCTAATAGTGTTGAGAGTATCAAATTGCCATCAGGCAAAAATAGACTTTGCATGTGTTTATAAACAATTGGACTAATTTTTATATTGTCAATTGATTTTATCTTTAAACATCAACTTCTTATACATGATATTACGAAATAAAAAGATCTTTGACAGTAATTGACTGTATAAAATGTCTCTCCCATTACAAATATATAAACAAGATAACACATAATTATATAAAAATTGAAAATATAAAAGTCTTCAAAAGATTATGTATGTCTCTCTCATCACTAAATCTATAAACAAGATAACACATAATTATATAAAATTTGAAAATAAAAAAGTCTTCAAAATTAACAGGAAAAAAAATATTAATTTGAAAAGAAAATTGATTATTGTATTCTTCAATCTTCATTATATGAAAGTTTTAATTGTTATACCAGTTTGTGACTTCAAATATAATATCTAGCTTAGTAAAAAAAATATTTAGCTTAGTATATGTACATTTTAGAGCAGGTGATTTATTTTTTAATTTGATGACATGTAAAGATGGTCACCGAATTTGATGAAGAAATTAAGGTTTCACTGTAAAATCAAGTATAACATAGGAAATTACTTATAAACACATGCAAGATCCATTGTCTTCTAGATGTGGGATTAATACTCTTAACACGTCCCCTCATATGTGGTAAATTTTCAAGCCTAGCACGTGAACAACACTAATCCGATGACTAGAGGACGTGTGGTCGTAATGCTTTACATATAGGATAACTTACTCTTATACCATGAAAAATTTGTGATTTTGTCATAAAACCAATTACAAAATAAGAAATTACGTATCATCCCCTTCAAAACGTGCATTAACATATTCTGATGTGGAACCCTCAACAACTCATTGCTATCCAATGGCAGGTGACAAAGAATTTAAAAGAAAAAAGAAATAAAAAAATTATTAAATAAAATGGACATTTGTAGCTGTTTTTCTTTATACTTTATGAATGTGTTAAAATAAAAAACAAAAGTTTGAGAGTTTTAATTAGTTGAGAGGTCTTTATTTGACTAAATATTTTATTAATTTTTCACCCACCTTGAACACACATTTAGAAAAATATTGTGTTGAGAAAAAATATTAATACACAGCTTGAAAACATCACAATTTTGATTATTTGCACGTTTAAATGCATATGTTACTTCTCGATTAATTTAAGGTTGTATCAATTACAAGTTAATTGAATATATAAATAATACAGAAAGAAAGGAACATGAGTTTTATAATCATTTAAACTGCGTACAACTCATCTGACGAATATAATAATTCGTGACATAACATGCCATGTTCACATGCTTTGTTGTCTTGGGAACCTTAGTGGTAAAACCGAAAAAAAATCATGACATAATAAACTAAAATAACCTTAATATTTGTGAATTACCGCTAAAGTAAATTTTAGGTAAATTTTGGTGTGACAATGTTTTGCCCCAAGGTCCAAGTAAGTTTCATGTTGGTCAATTTTGTACTAGCAGTTAGGAGATATTTTTCAATGTGTTTAAAACACAAACGATACGCCATATGTTTTTTACGAATAAATAATTTTTTTTTCTTTAAATGCTCCTCTACTTATATAAGACATATAAAATATGAGCAATTATTCTAGGTACACTAAAAAAATCTTTGTACATAGAAGTCCCCAAAAATACTAGTTGGTCAATTAAAAACTGGTAGTTAGAAGTCTCCAAAAACAACCGCTACAATTTGTTGAACTTATTGCAAAACGACAACGTTATAGTCCCTTTCATGGCTGCAAGATGCAAAATTGGACTCGAAGGCTAAGCAGACTGAAAAAAGTGGTGGCTAAGGAGAAGACAGCGCTAACCCAACCAAGAATTTATCAAATTTGTAAGATCTTTCTAGACATTTAGTCCAATTTTGTGAGGATATATTTCTCAGTGTCTGTCTCATCTCATGTCAGGATTCTTGTGTGTAATCGATGATATATCTTATTCAATAACAAGTGACGCGAAAGATATTATGCAAAGACATATTTCCAATTGCAACTTCAAATTGTTAGAGAAGGAGCCTCATACAAGGAAACTGATTCTTCTAAGGTTTAGGAATTAATATTGTAACATAACTCTAATTGTATTACTGATTTGTAGAGATCCTTACTTGTATGCTAAGGATACACACGTGTGTAAAAAGGCTTTTGTTTTATGAATATAATTTCTACATGGTATCGACGAGTTTAGGTTGTAAACCCTAGCTACCCCCTTATCTGACCTGAATTTTTTTTTTTGCCGTCTCCTTCTTCCATGGCAGCGGCGTTCTCCTCCTCTTCCGCTCACTCTCTTCCTTCCGGACCTAATGTGGCTCACTTTTTCAAATTTACAGAGACTAATTTTCTCAATTAGACATGTCAGATGCGTGCAGCAATACTCATGCTTATTACTAGAAGCACAACAGACAATTATTAACTATTGGGGAGAAATAGGAGAAGCAAAATACTTTTTTTATTGTATAGTGCAAGTGATATTACTACTTTAGTTTATATTAGGGAGATTGGTTGATTTGAACTCAAAAAGTCGTGAGTTGAAGAAAAAGACCTCCAATTATCAGGACAATCCATCACTTGCTTATGAGAAAATAGACAACTTAAAAATGCTTCAATGCTTCAAAAAAAAAAAAAAACCTAACAAAAGTTTTGTAATCACATATTTAATTTTTTTTTGTCAAATGGTGTCGAGAAATGTTTGTAGCCATTCCAAAAGGTGCCAAACAGGCCCCTAATTACTTGATTATTATTACCAACACATATTATGTTACTCTTGCCTTGTTAAGCATTTGCTTAAACACTTTCTAATTGGCATGTGGGTCAATAAAAATCATGTTTAGGAATGTTAATTTGATCTGGGAATGCAGGCCGAACAATTCCCATCATTGCTTCCGTCATCCATGTCTAAAATAGTGGTGACAAAAAAGTTGAGGTAAGCACTTATGCAACAAGGAATCTTCTCATGCTCTCTCCTTCCTCGTTGGAAATTTGATACTCTCAAATATTCAAGGCCCCTCTCAATACTTTAGTGATCAGAGTGTGACCCTAACACCATCATGACTTAGAGACCCTAATGTTGGAGAACTAGAAAAAGAGACTTGCGTAGCGGTCATGCTAATCTTCTTTATCGTTCTGATGTCAAAAAAATAGTAAAAGAACTTTAAATGCAGTGCGGAGAGTGATGGATAAAAACCTTAAATTTAGTAGGAAGATCTTGACCTCAAAAAGGTGTTCGGCATCATTTGGGGCTAATTTGATGTCCTTGTAAGAGGAAAAATTCAATGAATCTCCTCCGATCACATCGTCCTCTGCATATGGACATGGTTGGACACTGGAAATAGCCTCCTCTGTAGCTACTGGATTAGCGGGGCAAATAACATTTTGGACCTTTTCTCAATTAATGTGTCGTTCTTGTACATGGGTCATACAAATCTTCTCTCTATCATTCCAATTTTATCAAATCTCCCGGATGCGACATAAATCTTCTTGTTGGTACCACATAGAAGCTTTCTAAAAAGCCGGGTCTGGTCGATGTGGGATTGAGTTTTGTTCTTCTTATTCGTTTTGGGCCCCCACGCTCTCATTTTATTTAGTACTTGGGCCTTTCTTGGCGGATCCGTTTCTAAAGCTCATGGATCTTACTTTACCTGATAAAATGCATCGAAATGAGAAGCCTAAAAACAAATCCATTTCCAGATTCTTCTCCATTCAACCAAACAATAAGCCTATATATATATGTATTAGTATAACAATATTCTTTACGCTAAGGGGAGAGGAATTCGGCTAAACTACATAATAAACAACCTAATTTAATATCGAATTCGTCAACTACGAGATTTGAACTTAAAAGTTCTCACTTACAAGTGAAGAAGAATATCATCAGACCATAATACTGAGTGGTCTAAGCCTATATAGTTGTTATATAAGGAAAACATTATCAAACAACCTTAGTTGCTTGTTCACCAAAAAAACAACCACATTAGTTGCTTCAAACTCGATTTTACTTACGGTGTTAAAAAATGACAACTTTTCTAGAAAAATTAATGAATAATTTGGAAATTGGAAGTGGAAAAACGTGGACGGCAGGATTCGAACCTGCGCGGGCAGAGCCCACATGATTTCTAGTCATGCCCGATAACCACTCCGGCACGTCCACCCATGTTTCGTTTTCCGTACTAATATATTTTTATCTGAAGAAACAAGATACATGACATATACTTTTGCGCTTTTAGCAAAGTGATTCTGAACGTGAAACCGACATGTCGTTGTAAGCCGTTGACTTCAGCAGCGCCGCATAACTACCACACTTCCCACAAATTCACAATAAGGAAATTAATCAGCGAGAACAATGGCCGCCGCTTCCGGTAACTATGCCGTCAACAACCCGGTTTTGGGCCCGGACTCGGACGCTCCGGACAATCAGGGTCACGAGTTCGCCCAATTCGGATCCGGGTGCTTCTGGGGAGCGGAGCTGAGGTTCCAGCGGGTGGTCGGGGTGGTGAAGACCGAGGTCGGGTACTCCCAGGGCCACGTGGACAATCCGAATTACAAATTGGTCTGCTCCGGAAGCACGAACCACTCGGAGGTGGTTCGGGTCCTATTTGACCCGGAAGTCTGCGCCTATACGGATCTTCTCTCTGTGTTTTGGGATCGTCATGATCCAACGACCCTCGATCGCCAGGTAATTTGGTTTTTGACTTTTATGGGCCGTTGATTTTGTGGCCGAATCATTGTTGTTTTTCCAGCGCCTCCTACTTTTTGACGCATGGATTTGTACTTTTGTGCTTATCATTTTCTTTTCTTTTTTCTTTTTTCTTTTTGCTCTTTGGCCTTAAAAACAAGAGTAAAAGAACACTGGTGGCACAACCTTATTTATTATTTATTTTATTTTATGTTACTGCCATAATGTCTTAGCGATTGCTAAATTACAGCAAAGCTTGTGTTTTTTTGGGGAAAAATTAGGTAATTGGGGGCAATAAAATTAGTTACGAACTTTTGATCGAAAATCGAACTGAAAGTACTTTGAGTGTAATTTAGTTGAAAAACATTAACCGTTACAACCCAAATACCGAGTTTGGTTTCTTTTTTTTTCCCTTACAACCTGGTTCTGTTGGTAAAGAGTATACCTTGGTTTATATACATGTTATTGCTCGTTCGATACCCATTTTTTGTTTTTGATTAAAAGTTTATAACCAGTATTGTTTGTGTACGTTTCTCAAATAATTATGTAATCGAGATGGGCTCGAGTTGTTGCACTACATTTTGGGCTAACAATTGGTTCATGATTGTTATTTATTAAATAAATTTTGTGTTATGTATGAGGGAGGGGATGTTGGTACACAATACCGATCCGGAATCTACTTCTACAATGAAAACCAGGCTCGTCTGGCCGAGGAATCAAAGGCAGCAAAGCAGGCGGAGTTGAACGATATGGAGGTGGTGACAGAGATCCTCCCGGCGAAGAAGTTTTACAGGGCAGAGGAGGACCACCAGCAATATCTCAAAAAAGGAGGACAATCTGCCGAAAAGGGTTGCACTGATCAAATCAGATGCTACGGTTGATAAGTTCTGCATGCATTTGATGCGATATGATTGAAAATCTTCCTGGGTCGTAGTCACCAACGATAACATATGATGCGTCAATACTTGCGGATTTTAAATAAATTAGGTTCGAAGTGGAACCAGAAATGTAGTAATGAAACATTGTGGCATCGGTTGGGATTCAAGAGTTTAGGGTTTGATTTTTGTGTACTTATATCGCTTATGTATATTTAGCGTCATGTTTTTATTGTTGAGAATATGTCCCACATTGATGAGATGAGGGATTTTATATAAGCATATAAGAGGTTGGACTACTTCTTATATTGCCAATTGGTTTTATGGTGGAATCCCAACTTTCTTCATTGTATTAGAGCAGGTTGTCCCACGTGTGAAGCCAAACGGCCACACGCACACCACATCATCCCGTTGTGTTGTCCACATGTTAAGCTTGAAAATTCCCCACAAGTGTGGAGGCGTGTTGCCGTTTGATTCCCCACACATGTGGGGGCATGTTTTCGTTGTGTTGTCCTAGTGGGCGTGTTACCGTTGTATTGTCCAAGTGTTAGGCTTGAAAATTCTCCACACGTGTGGGGCGTGTTGAGAATGAGTCTCACAATGGGAGGAGGGACATTGCATGAGCTTATAAGAGGTTGGGCTATTCCTATATTGTCAATTAATTTTATGATGAAACCTCAACTTTCTTCATTTATATATCGAAGCTTCTTTTGTATGAGTTTCCGGGTTTGAGGAGATTAAATCGACAATGTTATTTCTTTTTAGCAGACCAGTTACAGATCTTAGATAATGCATGGATAATTCAAACCTAGGAGGCATTATTTGGCCACGAGGTCATGAGGGATTCAACTTTTTTATAACAGAGGCAGCATCAGCAGAAGTTAAAGTTGAGGGTTGGATTTTGTTTAGAGTTCATCCTTAGGATTTGAGGTAGCTGCTGCTTTAGGGTTTGTCGAAGAGTTCTTGACGGGATACGAAGCCTCCATAGCTATTCCACAGATCCCCTCCTTAGCAGAGACGCCGCGCTGCATCCTTATGTAACCCTTCTCTCCCCACTCGGGTCCCCATGAGTTCTTGACTATCCAATACTTGGTTCCATCAAGTGTTGTTCCGTAGCCAACAACTGCCACTCCATGATCAAGCTCTGTGCCGCATTTCCCGTCAAATACACCCTGAAAACCATAGACCAGCAGATTAAGATATGATCCCTCGACTTAGAAATTACTAATAGAAACTTTACCTCATCGTAGAATTGGAAATCGGAACCTCCAGCATCGATGGCGACAGCAATAGGTTGGTTTGCAGCTGCTTTGAGCAATGCATCCTCGTCATTAGCAGGCACACTCTCATGGCCATCAATGGACACAACCGGAGCGTTTTCCTGCATAAAAAGTATCGGTTATATCCTTAAAATTTCACTTTCATAAGCAAAGGGGCATCAGAAAAGGGATCAAAGATATATCCCTGAAATGTATAAGAACAAAATTACCTTTGCAACATTACATGTTGAATCTGCTGCTCTGTAAGGGTAATTAATTTCGGTTGTCAGGCCTCCCTTGTGTTTGATGAACTCCATTGCCAGTTCCATTAGCCCTCCATTGCATCCTTGGTTTTGTTCCGTGTCACAGTCGACGAGCTCTTGCTCAGACAACGAAACCAGCTCCTTTGCCTTAATTTGATTGATGCCCTCAACTGCTGCAACTGTCGAAAACGCCCAGCAACTTCCTGGATTATATCATCAAAACAAACGAATACAGTTAAAACAATCTATACAGATACCATTCTGTAGAAAGAGAACGAAACAAAAAGGGAAAACTTGGTTATAACAGATAGCAAATTTTTGCTTACCGCATTGGCCTTGATCCTTAATGGGAGTGACAGCACCATTCCTTCTCCAATCAACAGACGGTGGGACACTTTCAACATTTGCATACCGAAAGCCTCTGTCAGCGCGCTGCCCTTGGAGCATTCTATGGTGCTTAACCTTCGAACCAGCGTAAACACTCCTGAACTCATGGTTGGTCATGTCAGCAAACTTGTTGAGCTTCAGCTTGTAAGGCTTATCACCTTTGTTAGTGTTGTGAACATGCTTGACATTCTCTTTAAACACATTAAACCGCTTGTGCTTCTCGTCAAGGCTCCTGGAAACCGTGTGATGGCTCCTCCACCTCTCGTACAAGTCCCACAAGCTCTCCTCCGAGGCCAAGTCCTTCTCATGGTAATCAAAACTCTCAGAAACCCCAATCACCAAAGCAAGCGAGAGAGCAAGGGCAACCCAAACAAACTTAGTCATTTTTCTACCGGCTTGGGGTTCAAGTTGACACAGGATGAGAATACGAAGACCCCGACGCTGCCTTATATAGAGGATCAAAGAATGGATGACAAATTGCAGGGATGGTGGTGATGAAATGGGAGAAGATAACAAGGATAATAAAGAGAGTCAGTTATGGGGTATCTTGTGGAGATGAACAACTTCTAATGATGGAGAGAAAATATGGGAGGTGATGATTGTGTGGGAAATGGGATTTGGTTTGTTTGTGGAAGCAATTAATGGATTGGATTAGAGGGTTTTGGGTTCATATTTTGGTATGGAACTTATAGAAAAGGAAGCAAGAAAGTAGGTATTGTTTAGCAGTTAGCAATGTGCTTTTGGATTAGGGTTTGTTTACATGCCCAACAATTTATACCATCACCATGTATGGAGAGAGAGAGGATCATGATTTTGTCTAGCGACATCCAGTCTTTACTTTATTGGCGAAACAACTTTGTATAGAACTAGAATCTTTGGGAATAACTATTGGCACTGCAAAAAAAATCTCATTATGAATTTATAGTTAAGAGAAACGTAAGAAAGATTGCGCTTCGAATAGTGTATACTAATAATTTTTGAACTATCAATAACAATTTTCTTTCAAAATTTTGACACACGCAAATGAGTTCCAGATCTTGAAAACCCAGAGAAAAACCTCGTACATGATGCTCTTGATTCCTTAAAGGCCGAAGCAATCAAAAGAATGTGAAACATCGCTTGTAGGACTTTACTTGACACTTGCGTAATGTGTTGGTGACTATTCACTTCTACATGTAGAGAAAGTGGGTGAGGCTTTTCTCATCAAGAAAAATGAGGGATGCCTTTTATCGATTTGCATCCAATAATTCCACAAAAAACAAAAATATATAGATATAATCTTATTTTTAGCATGTTTACTAGAATAATCATGAATCGAAAATGGAAATAAGGAATAAGATTAACTTGACTCCTAGTTGATCTAATTATTATTTGTTAAGTATGTGATTACAAATTTTAAGGTAGAATCCACACTTTTTCGATTCTCTAGGTAAACAAAAGAAGTTAAGAATTTAAATGATTTCAGCACCCATTTTTAATAAACGCAAAAAATAAAAATAAAAACCAAATATTAAAATAATTTATATTCTCATTTCTTGTAAGTAAACGTGACATTTGTATACTCTTCCGAATGAAAATCTCAAACTCAGGTAGCTTGAGTCGCAAGAGATAAAGTAGAATTATAAGTACATCTTCAATTTTAGTGCCTTTCGTAAACTAATAGGAAAACGAAAATATAAGTCGATTAAGTGGGAAAAGAAAAATCTTTGTGATGAACAATATTCCAAAAGCTGTTAGCAGCAGAAGCCAAAAGCTGCTGGCTATATGATTCACTTCTATCAGTTACATGGAAACTGCACAATAGCTTGTTGATGACCTGCTTGGATAGGTCATGTCATCTATACATCACCACCAGAACGGCAACTCATCTTAAATCTAACCGCTCAAAATCCCGATGACATGACCGCACGATGAGTATTGCCCAAGAAGTTCATGCCGTTAGACATGGGAAGTGAATATGGTGTTCGCATGTTAACCAAGTAGGCAGAAGAGATGCAATATAAGTTGCTACAATCATTGATGACGATAATGCTTTGGCAAGTGACAGATTTATCCATGAAGTATATATGAACAATGTTCAGATAATGCATTCCTGACTGCGCCACAAAGTGTAAATAAACAACGAAAAACACGACATGATTTTCAAAAGCTTATGTAAAGTCATAGATAAGACAGAACTTAGCTATTCTGTGAATGCCAAGTTAAATTATTCCAGAATTGCGATTGTGTTCAACAGAGCAATGCTCGGACAAAATCAGAAGTAGAGGAAACAACGGAATACGAAGGTACAAGAAGATAAATCTGAGTCGCTCATGCTTGAGTCTCCCTTTGTTTGGCTTGCTGCTGCAGCAGCTCTTCTCTAACCCTCTTAATCTCCATTTCCCTTTCGAGTCTTTCTTGCTGCCACATTAACGAGACCCCAATCAATATCATTCCAAACTTGGAAATGGTTAGCAGTATCAATAACAAAACATAATGGCTTATACACGGAGAAAGGTGACTAAAAAGGCACATTTATAAGCAGCCAACGCTTACTACCAACTACCACGACTTCAAATCAGATTCTGAACCAAGCTTCTTGCTATCCTTTAAACATGTAGTTCGGTACGAAAATACTAGTTCCTGGGTTTCACTAGTTTCTGATTTCTACTGAAATTAAGGGAATGTAATATGGACCCGGTAGCTACCACAGGCAAACGAAAGAGAAGTAACACAACTAGAAATGAAAATACGCAACATATTAGGAAAACACAACACAACTGTTCAACATGGAAGAAGAACTCCAAATAGGAAATCCCATGGTAAGAAACGACTATAGCTTATGAAACAAGGTTTAATTCTACACAGCAGTGTGACTGATCACATAAATATAGCATAATAACAATGATTACGGGTGAAACGCCAAGTCGAATTACATCCCCAATTTCCAGTAACCAAGCATTGCATTTATGCTTCCCTCGGATACGAATTGAGTATAACAACTACATTGCATTTATCACAAACGATCTCCAAATATGAAACCCCACGATACGAAACGAATATAACTTATGAAAGGTTGAATTCTACACAGGCGTGTCACTTTGATCGCACAAATGTAGCATCATAACAACAATCAAAGAGAATTTCCAAATTCAATTAAGTCCCCAATTCCCAGTAACCAAACATTGCATTCCCCGTAAACCTAACCCCAAAATTTCATGCCAATTTCCAAAAGATAAGATTTTTCAGGACCAATTGAACAATTCAATGAGAACCCATCTAAATTGTGAGCTTGTGGAGCTGAAATTCAATCGAATTCTTGAACAAAAACAACCCAATACGACCAATCGAAAAGAGATTTGCTAGTACCTTTTCGTCCTGATGCAGGGCGATCCAGACGTGGACTTTATCCATGGACTGCCAGAACACGAAAGCTCCCAAAGTCATAGCGAAGTAGGTCGCGACCTTCACCATCTTCTTCGCCTTCTCCTTTTCTGTGTCCAAATCTACGTTTTAGGTTTCAGGTGAGCGAGAGAGCGAGAGAGAGAGTAGAGACCCACTGACAATACTTCCGTTTCCGAAAACGGGTCGAATCCGAACCCCAAAATTGCTTTACACAACTACGGACTAGAGGGAGAGCTTTTGTTGGACCTTGACATATGCTATTAGGCCCATTTTTCCCAAAACGACTTAGGGTGGAAAAGTACCCTTGGATCATAAAAGCACTTTTTGAAGAAGCACTTTTTATATACTTCTTTCATTTCATGAATCACTTTTAAGTATTAGCACTTGTGAACAAGTGCTTACTACAATGCCCAAAGAACCCGAAGTAGAGGCTTATCTAGTAGGCACTAAAAAGTGCTTTTGCAATCCAAAGTGCTTTCAAAACGACAAAAAACGTTTTTGATGAAAATGTTTTTAGAACCAATTCTTAGTAAAAATGCATGAAAATTATGAAAATAAGCTTCATTCCTACAAGAAACACATAATTGGTGTTTCTTGCAAAAAGCATTTTAAGTGATTTTGAAATCCAAAAATATTTTCTCCAAGAGTGCTTTCAGTTATTTTAAATTCACTTGCAAACAAGCCCAAAATGTAATGATAATTTGACGTGCTTTAACAAGAAAACACAAGGAAACAACTATGGCTAAAACAATGAACAAAATTTAGTCAAGATATTTGGATGAGAAATAAAGACGAATGCAAGGATGCTACGATTCGAGATGAATCAATATTTACACCAAATCTAATCGAACGTGTGTACATTATGTGTGTCTTGTGCAAACATGAGTAAAAAGAATCGGCCAAATCTGTCACTTCCAAGTACAGATGATTCCGTTCTTGTCCGCAGAAGCCAGAGGTTTTCCATGCCCGCTCCATGAACAACACAGGACCGATGCAGTGTGTTCCTTCAGAGTGCTCACAATGTCAGCTTTCGATATTGACCAAATATACACAGAACCGTCAGCAGATCCAGCAGCAACGTAATTGTCATCTGGACTGATACAGGATCTACTCCAATTCGACGCTACTCTGTTTCCAGTGGCTCTTAACGTTCCACAGACTTCTAGAGACCGCATATCAAACAAATTATGGACATTGTCTCTCCCACTGGTCAGTATAACATTGCCATTCCGGGACAAAGATATGGATGTAACAGCATTTGAGTGTGCAGCTACTTCACTGAGGAGTTTTCCTTTCTCAATATCCCACAAACGAAGATTTCCATCAACATGGCCAGAACATATGGTCTGTCCATCCATGCTAAATGACAGAGCATTGCAGTTTTTCGCGAACATGATTGTATTGGTGCAGTAACCTTTCTGCAAATCCCAAACTTTTATGGTACGATCATAAGCTGCACTCACAACATGACGGCTTGAGAATTTGCTGACATCTACTGCACACACTTTATCCATGTGGCCAGTGAGAGTGTGTCGAACCCTCCCCAAGGTAACATCCCAGGCATACAATTTGTTAGAGCTGCTTGCTGCAATGATAGATCTATTATCATGAGTAATCGTGAGATCCAGAACAGAACCAATGCAACCATTAAGTGTACGAGTTAGTGACCCAGTATTTGTATCCCACATTTTGATGGACCCATCCTGTCCGCCAGTAATCAATTTCCCAGAATTGTACTCAAATAATATGGAAGCGCAGCCACCATCATGGGCAGGGATCCTATTCTTGCATGTGGAGGGAATGGTTGACTCCACAAAGTACTCAGCACCTTCTTCACTTTGGCGGACAACACCATCTACTTGCTGCCTCGCAAGTTTTTCCAAACCGCTGGCCCTGAGCCGCTCAATCATATCTTCATAGAGTGCATTTGCCTAAATTAAATAAAGAAAACATGGGTTAAAACCTAGACCCCGTATGTAAAACGGGTAGAAAATGTACAAAAGAAATATTTCTTTCAACAAATGAAGTAATACATAATCTTATAATATACTGGAGAACAAGGCAATGCTTGCAACCACTGAAATGAGATTTCAAATCTTATCTGGATATCCCATATACTTTCTCAATGTTTTAAGTTAAATAATATTTAAAGTGCAAGAAAGAAAACGGCAAAGCCCACGTTTGCACGTCAACAAAAATCCAAATTAATACATATATAGCATCGTTTCCATTTAGTTTTTTCTAGCATTTATTTTACACGTGAAAGTGGCAAAATTATATATATGTATGCAATTAAGCACAAATTGGCATAGTCACCAAACGTAAGAACGAACTTATAAATGAAAATCAACATATGTTGAGCGGTGGCCAAACATTCTGATTAGGATACAACCTACAGCAAGACAACATCAACAAGAGCCTTGAGACAGTACAGCTATGTTTCGCGTCATACCTTAAACCCACTAACATCTAGAACTATCGACTAAACTAAAAAAGTGAGCCACAATTTGGGTTTGATTACATATAAAGTACCTCGTTAAGCCGTTCTGCATCCTTCATCTTCTCCAACATCCATCGGTCAATTAACACCTTATTTTCAGCCTCAGCGTTCTTAGCTCTTATAGACATTTCTTCTAGCTGCGCTCTTATTTCCTTGTTCTCACTCACAACCAATTCCAAAGCTTTAATTTTCTCTTCCAAGTCAGCCACTAATTGAGAACATTCATCCCTGCAACATGTAATTGAAATCAGTCATACAGAACTTGAAATCTCAAAAACCATCTGCTTCTCCATTACTAGTAATGAAAAAGTGAACCTTTTTTCAGATAATTCCTTCTGAAGATCAGCCACTGCTGCTTCTTTCTCTTGAAGTGAAGCTTTTGAAGTTCTGGACTCCGCTACTTCCACCACGAGTTGCTCGGACAGCCGAGATTGAGCTTTGTAACACTGCTGAAGTTCCATTTCCAGATTCTCCGCCTTCTCCTTCCATTCTGAACCCTTAAAATGATAATCGAAGGTAACTCAATCTCCAAGTTCTAAACAATTCAAACGTAAAGGAAGCTACAACTATACTCCATCCAACTACACGAGAAACTGAGAAACTAAACGCCACAGCAAGTTAACCAAGCATCAAATTCTTCCCCCCAAAGATTAATCACATCAATCATTTCCATCAATCGAAAACCGAAAATTATTCTGCTTGAGAACTCGGGGATCAAATATTTCAAATTCAAACAAAATCCCCCAAACCAAAACCCTAAATCGCAGCTTGCTAGAAATTAAGAGACTACCTGATGAAGAATTGGCTTCGAAAGAGCGATGAAAGCTGGTGCATGAGCACCTTCTTCCACCAAATGCCGCCGCCGCAGAGCCTTCAGAGCGTGTTTTATTGCTTCCCTCGAAATCTCCTCCTGCGACCTGCATAAAGAAACTGACTTCAGCAAAAGCACAAACACCTCTGCATCCTACGATCGCTTCTGTTTGGCAGCCAAGAAAATTCATGATTCCCGAAACAACGCCGTACTTACATTGTGATCGAAATCGGGGATTGTACCGGAGATACTTCGATGGGGTTAGGGCTTCAATAAGGGGACGCAATCATGATCTTCTTCGACGGCGCAGGGGTAATTCCGGAATAATGGGGAAAATGGGGCGGCGGTGGGTTTTTAACCTCGAAAAAACAGGGAATTCGAACCCCTTTGGAATCCGTCTCTTCGGAATCAGGCGTTCGGTGAAAACTGAGACGATGGAATTCGATTCCGACTGAGAGTCTGAAAACACCGGGGAGGGGCTGCGAAGAGATGAAGCCAACGACGTAGAGTACAAGTACGACGTACGAAAGGAGACTATCAAATAAAACGACATCCGATTTGTATTTGTTAAAAGGGCTGGTTTTGTATTGCAACGGTTTGAAAAAAATAAATTGATTTTGCTGTGATGTGAAATAAATCAGTACATTATTTGGTAAATTTTTTTGTAAAAGTGTTTTTGGAAAAAAAAAAAAAAAAATAACACAGTATAATAGTGTTTAATAAATTTTTATATAAAACAGCTATAACTGCGTGAAATAATTAAAAAAGATATAATACTAGATATGTCATTAATTTAATTTTAACAAGTAGAGATGAATTACTAAATATACTTTATTTTAAATATTTATAATTAAAAAATTTTAAAAAATAATTTCTAATGCCTAAAAATTAATAAATCTCTCACTCCTTCTCATCTTCTTCATTCTTGTGTTTTCCCTCCCTTATCCCCCCTTTATCCCCTTCACACTACAACAGCAGCCAAGGCGCAACCGTCACGAAGAACCTTCCATTTCCAAGGCGCTGCTCCATTTGCTCGTCCGTCATCACCTTCACGAACAACCTTCCATTTCCATTTCCAATCCCATCATCTTCTTCTAGGTTCTGCAAATTCTGGTGGATTATTTGCTACTGCTACTGCTGCCACTCCCCCATCATCCTTCCCAATCAATTTGCTGAGTTGCTTTTCCTTCAACTCGCTCTTCCTTTTAGGCTAGTGGCCTGTGGACGCGAGGAGTGAAAAGGAAGAGAGAGAGCTTCGGTAGGGTTTCTCAAGACAATTGGGGAACGTTTTTCTGGATAAACACAGAAGGTTGCAAGAGAGAAGTAAAAGAGGAGGGCACGACTGATGATAGAGAGAAAGAAGGCAGGATTGGAAAATTGAAAGGTTCGTTTATTTTTTACTGTTCACTCGTGTTTTAGCAAAATAAGCTGTTTGTTCAGGCCGTTATTTCTAACTTCTGTTTTTCAGCTTCTTTTCACCAATAACTTTGAAGAAAAACTAATTTAAAGTGTTTACGAAACACTTAAAATGCTCCAACTCTTTTTCATACTCATTTTTTTTAAAAGTTAAGCTAAGCCAAACCAAGGCTAAAGACTAATTAACAATGGTTTGCAAGGGAGCTAATTTTCACAAACACTCTCGCATAGGGGTGGGCATAAAAACCGCCAAACCAGAAAATTGAATCGAACCGTGATAAAAAAAACCGCGTTGATAAAAAAAGTCAAAATCGGAACAAAAATTAAACTGAACCATTTCAAACAGTTCCGGTTCTGGTTTGGAAATATTAAGAACCGGACCGAACCGCTTTTAATATAAATTATTGTTTTATTATTTTTTTATATAAATAAGATATATTTTCAAGAAGACCATGTGCATAAGCCCA